CCTGAATTGTTTAACCATCTTCGACGTTCGGGCTTTTCTCTCTTCTGTCTGTCTTCTCCCTGAATTCTCTAATTTTCAATCTCCCTGGGCTCGTGGTTCGCCTGAAAAAGTTTTTTATGCGAATCCCACAAGACCATCCTTCTTTCTAGCAGGAGCGTTTTCTGGGCTTTAATTTTCTGAATGACTTTCAGACACCTTTTGTATGGTCTCAGGTCAAGACGTGAGTCGGCTTTGTATAATCGGACAGCTTTCCCATCCTGAGGGATAATGGTGGCGCAATCAATCGCAAGATCCAGATCGTGCACACCCCGTTCTTTTGGAATGCATGATGTAGATTCTGTAACACCCTTTACAACGATATTCCGCTCATTTCTTGGATACTGATTGATCTGTCGCACTGCCCTGGGCCAGGGATGTTTACAGAACCCGTTCGAATAAAAACAGTCCTCAAACAGATGGCAACTTCTAATAGGAGACGTATGCAGCGAATGGCGACCCCATAGAAATTTGTGCCGTTGTAATGGCCGAAAATGTTAAAGATAACGCACTCTCGGTTGACCAGAAAACTTGGGAGAGCTTTCTGGTTGCTCACACGCTGGACAGAGTTTTTAACAACACTTCCAACACGCACGCATAGATTTAGTACGATAACTGTTTGATTGAAGCATTGTTTTCCTGGAAGAATTCTGTACAAGGCAAAGGCGACGAGACATACAGGATTCATTGACGTCATTAAATTTGTGACCTCTTATTCAACTGTACACGGTCATAGCGTAGTTGTAAGATAAAGTAAACTGTTCAATCAGAGAAAGGCAGAAAAATTATTAGGGCCATTATATGAACACTATTGAAAACAGGGGACATAACAATACAGGGAGACATGGTGTTAAATGTACAAACGATCCATCTGTAATGGGTGGTGGTCCCACCATGCCAGTTAGACACCGGCAGGGATTGCATTACTGTCGGTAACTGCGAATAAGGGTCGTTTAGTTTACTGATTGTGGAGGATACGAGCGATGAACGACAAGAGAGAACGGGTTGAAATATCAACGGTATGGAAGAGGGGGTCAACGGTCACCTTCGCAAACATACAAGGGCACCGCACCCACCCCAGATCCGTGTCAAGGCAAATTCAGCCCACTGAAACAACTTCGTCGGATTCGTGGTGCGTTTCATGTCAACTTTCTAGGTTGTTTGTCTCTGAAATAGCTCTGTTTCGGGGGGCTGTGTTGCACACACACATACTCAAATCGAGAATAATTACCTACAATCAATATGAGATCAATTTTTTTAATTCACCATGAAAGTGTAAAATAAAAATACCAGAATTTCGCAACAACTGTATGTGTGCAAACCCTTCTTCCCTGTTAGAGTGACCAAATTATTGAATGCCCTGACCGCAGATATGTTGTCATCATCAATGGACAGCTTTAAAAGGGAAGTTGACAGATTTATGTTCTTAAGTTAGTTAGACCGAGGACAGATTGAAATCAACATTTGAGACTCTCGTCTAAAGTGTTATACTTTATGCTCCCCTTTGGGCTATTTTAACCCACCTGGTTTCTTTATACACTGTACCATTTTACGCTGCAAATAGATTACCCGAAGGTCCCTCCCCTATTTCCATCCAGAAACCATTCCGAACTGAAAATGACGCTTGCAAGCAGTTGTCAACCAATAAAAGATTGATTTTGCCTTGATACCACCATTAGAAAACGTGGCATGGTGGTGGACCCAGTAGGACAGTCAGGAGATTTCTCACGAACTCTTCATTTTGTCCTCCCACCACGGCCAGTTATTGGACCTGGAAAATATCCACTACTTGCATACACACCGGTTCGTCTGAGAAACCGGCCTTCGTACGAAGCGGGAAAGCGAAATCTTCAAGGTGCATAATGAAAGATGTAGAGAGAGTCTGTCGTTGGTAACGTGGTGTTCCTCCGCAGTGCATATAACATCCTTGGGTCTGTAGTGCAAACGGCAATTAAACTACAAACAATAATAAATATCTAACTGTAAGTGGGGGATGCTGCGTTTCTTACAAGAAATATAACGATTGCAAAAGGAGTATAAGAAAAACGACAAAAGGTAAATAAGTGTACAGACTCACGATAAATAAAGCCTTCTCCACAAGCATTGGCCGTAGGGTGAATGTGATGCGTAAAATCCGAGACGAAATCAGTGAATGAGGCTTGTCGCTCAGATGAAAGCACGTCCAGTTAAATATGGCCAAAAGGTATAAGAGTTTCGTGTCGATTGACTACAAACGATTGACGCAAATGAGTGCAATCAACGAAACAATTACACTAAGCAGCAGACGGACACAAAGTCACGCTTTTTCACAAGTCGAAACCAAGTGTGTGTATTTTGGTTAATCTAAACGATAGTACAGTAAGTTGAGGTGTACAAGAAAGTTAAGAGTGAAAAATCGAAAATGTGAGTAAACCTACACAACTCCCCCACCAGAGCGTTTGTTGTACAAAATAAAACGCTCGATAAAAAATGCAAAAAGTTACACGAAAAAGTCTCTGAGTTTGGCAGGAAAATGGATATGTCTACCAGAACGAGTTGAGGCGCGTGGTGGAGTGGAAGGAGAATCAGGATGGGTGGGTGGGGTGGTGGAATGTGGTGGTTCAGTGGAGGGGACCGAAACGGGTGGATCGGGTGAGGACGGTGCAGAGGAAGTCGGTGGCACAACTGACGGCGGGACGCATTCAAGATATGCTGGCTTAAGTCTGTCGATGGAGACTGTGTCAGTTTTGTCAGCCTTCCGAATGACATAATACGTGTCCATCCGCTGAAGAACCTTATGCGGGCCATCATATGGGGAACAAAGAGACTCGCGAACCGCGTCATGCCGGACGAAAACGAAAGGCGAAGATTTAAGGTCCTCATGCACACACACACGTTTCGATGTCAGACGAGTGGGGGTTGAACGCATTTGAGCCATGTGTTGCTTCAACTGCTGTATGAAGGTGCTCGGGATGTTGGTGTTTGTCGTGGAAGACTGCACAAATTCGCCGGGAAGACGGAGGGGTGTACCGTACACAAGTTCGCGGCAGTGCATTGGATGTCTTCCTTGACAGAGGATCGGATGCCCAAAAGCGCAAAAGGGAGATGGTCACTCCAAGAAGCTGATTCTGTTTGGGACATCAGTGCGGACTTGAGTTGACGGTGTAGACGCTCCACGAGGCCGTTGGAGGCAGGGTGATATGCCGTGGTTGTGATGTGCGCACACCCGAGCAGTTTAGTGAACTTAAGGAAGAGGCTAGATTGGAATTGGCTCCCGGGGTCAGTAGTAAGGGTGGCTGGAACACCAAAAGGTGAAATCCAGTGCGTCAGAAAAACCATGGCGATATTTTCTGCCGAGGTATCCGAGATGGGAACGGCAATCGGCCGTCGTGTGAAACGGTCAACCGCTGTCAGAATATGCGTGTACCCGCGTGCAGGGGGTAGCGGACCAACTAAATCCAAGTGGACGTGGTGAAAACGAACATCTGGAACGGCAAATGTACTTGGTGGAGAAAATGTATGACGGTGTACTTTACTCTTCTGGCAGGCTAAACACTGCTCAGTCCAAAGAGCGATGTCAGAGTTCATCTTCGGCCAGATAAAAGGAGCAGCGATTAGTTTACGCGAAGCGCGGATGCCAGGATGTGACAGGGAATGGACCTGCTCAAACACTGTCTTGCGGTAGGATAATGGAACAACAGATCGAGGAGTGCCTGTGGACCAGTCGCATAAAATTGTGCCTGTTGATGCGGGAAGTGGTGCATCTCGAAGTTGCAGAGTAGGAGTAGAACGCAGGTCGTCAATGGACTTGTCGCCTGATTGGAGGTCTGCAAGCTTCGCCAGGTCGAAATCGGCTGTAAGTGTGTTGACGTCCGGACGGGATAATGCATTAGCAACGACATTGTCGCTGCCTCGGACGTAGCGGATATCTGCCGTGAATTGTGGTATATAGTCCAGATGACGAACTTCCCTGGTCGAGTACCTATCTGGCTTGGCCTTGAGGGCGTAAGGGAGAGGTTTGTGGTCGGTGTGAACCGAAAAATCTCTGCCCTCTAAGAGGTGTCGAAAATGACGAATGGCCAGGTAGATGGCAAGGAGTTCGCGAGAGAAAATACTGTAGCGAGTCTGCGCCAGTTGTAGCTTCTGTGAAAAGAAAGCCAATGGCTGCAACTGCTTATTCACCTATTGATGTAGGACTGCGCCGACAGCACTATTGGAAGCGTCAGTGGTCAAGATCAGCTGTGCGTGGGGATCGGAGCTTAGATGGTGAAGCAAAGTGGCATCAGCAAGAGCTTTCATAGCTGCCTCAAAGGCTGAGTGAGCTGCTGGAGGAAGTTCGATGGGCTTTGCGTTGGACTTTAGAAGGTCAGTTAAGGGAGCTAGGGTCGCCACACAGTGAGGGATAAAACGTCTGTAATAGTTGAGAAAACCTATGAAACGCCGCAGCTGAGTTAGGGTCTTGGGAACAGGGAATGACAGGATGCTCTGCACCTTCTCTAGCAGCGGTGTGATTCCATGCTGGTCGACGTGGTGACCAAGGAAATCTAGAGAAGAGACCCCAAAGATACATTTGTCGACGTTTAATTGCAGACCATGTTGTTGGAAACGGTCGAATATCTGGCGCAAGTGCGAGGCATGTTCCTCTGCCGAAGAACTTGCGACGAGTATGTCGTCAATGTAGACATAAGTGAATGAGAGACCCCGCAAGATGTCATCGATGAAGCGTTGGAAGGATTGGGCCGCGTTGCGCAAACCAAACGGCATGCGAAGAAATTCGAATGAACCGAAAGGCGTTGTGACGGCGGTCTTGGGAATGTCTTCTTCCTCGACCGGAATTTGGTGATATGCCCTCACGCGGTTTATTTTGGAAAAAATAGTTTTTTTCGGCTAGCGTGTGAGAAAAATCGTGCATATAGGGAATAGGGTATCGGTCGGGAACAGTGGCTCTGTTGAGAGCGCGATAGTCGCCGCATGGTCTCCAATCATCAGTGGATTTCTTGGGTACCATGTGGAGGGGAGAAGCCCATGGGCTGGAGGAAGGACGAATAATTCCTAGGTTCATCATATGCTATCCGAAGTTTTTCGGGATGAAGACGGAGAGGATGAGCGTAAACAGGTTGCCCCGTGGTGATGATGTGGTGTTTAACCGTATGCTGAACCTCCCCAGTGAACTGATTGGGTTTAGTGAGGGACGAGTTGTCCTTCAAAATGTCAGCGAAGGGTGAGCTTGGTACGGTCAACTGGATGCTAACCGAGGGTTCAGAAGCAGCAATCCCGGCGGTAAAGAGTGTGGTTGTGGTATCGATGAGTTTGCGGGGCTTGAGGTCGACTGCAAGGCCAAAATGAGTCAGGAAATCTGCCCCAACAATGGGAGATTTGACGTCGGCCTGCACAAAGACCCACTGGAAACGTCGCCGAGGACCGATGTCAAGTGTGAGCGACCGTTGACCATAAGTGTTGATGGTGGTGCTGTTGGCAGTCTGCAATGAAAACTGCGAAGGCTTGAGATGGTGGCGCCTTGGAGAAGGGATCACACAAATCTCGGCACCAGTATCGACAAGGAAACGGAGGCTGCTCGCCTTGTCACTGATATAGAAGAGGCGACTGGGTCGTGACTGGCCAGCGGCAGCTGTCGCCGTTACTGGCTGGCGCGATCGTTTACCTGTGGTGAGACCTGCATGTATGTGCATGGAGGGATGCACTTGCGTGCCTTCGGACCGTAAACGCGATGATACCAACACAGATTTGTGGAGGGGCGTTCACGGAGATGTAGAAGGACGGCGTAAGGGTGACCGGTTTGAGAACGACCGTAAGTTGTTGATGGTAGTGCACATTGTGCTCATTTGTGTGCAAAGAAGACGTACAATGTCTCTTAGATCATCAGAGTCACTGCGATAGGGACTGTTAGGTGGTCTTGATGGACCTGATGGCGTGGTGGCTCTGCGTGATGAGCAACGACAGGCCGACCGTTCCACACAAGTGTCACGTTCCAGTGAAGGAGCGACCTCTGAACAAGAGATGGCTACTCTATCCGATCTGTCGGGCACCGAGGTCGGTTGAATATTGGCGCATGTTGCACCGATCGGGTAACATTCGCTGATCCTCTCGGCATGATTGGCCAATTTGTCTAGAGAGACGCTAGTGTCCAGCATAGACAAAACCTGCTGCATGTGAACCGGCTACTTATCCAACCAGATTTGTCGAAAGATATCGTCGTCCATATGACGACCAGCCAGCAATGAGCGCATGTGGCGCATAAGCTGTGAAGGAGTTTGATCTACCAGTTCTACCTGTGTGAACAACTCCCGTAACATCCGATTGGCCGACTTGGCCACTTTCTGGATGACAGCATTCTTTAACTGGGTGTACGGGTCGTTGGCATGAATAGGGTCGAGGAGGTCGTCAACATCGACGGCAACGTCAAATGGGAGACTTTGCACCACATAAGAGTAGCGGGTGCGTTCGCTTGTTATGCGGCTCGTTGAGAAAACCGCTTCAATTTGACGAAACCAAACCCGGGGGTTGCTCGGCGTAAAAGGGGGTAGTTTGAAGGAGAGGGTATTGACGTCGAGAGAGTCTTTTTGAGGTTCGTTATCGGTCATAGTAAAAAAAATAGGTTGCGTAGATATATAAAAACAGGGTCACCACTTTTGTAGTGTAAACGGCAATTAAACTACAAACAATAATAAATATCTAACTGTAAGTGGGGGATGCTGCGTTTCTTACAAGAAAAATAACGATAGCAAAAGGAGTATAAGAAAACCGACAAAAGGTAAATAAGTGTACAGACTCACGATAAATAAAGCCTTCTCCACAAGCATTGGTCGTAGGGTGAATGTGATGGGTAAAATCCGAGACGAAGTCAGTGAATGAGGCTTGTCGCTCAGATGAAATCACGTCCAGTTAAATATGGCCAAAAGGTATAAGAGTTTCGTGTCGATTGACTACAAACGATTGACGCAAATGAGTGCAATCAACGAAACAATTACAACAAGCAGCAGACGGACACAAAAGTCACGCTTTTTCACAAGTCGAAACCAAGTGTGTGTATTTTGGTTAATTTAAACGATAGTACAGTAATGTTGAGGTGTACAAGAAAGTTTAGAGTGAAAAATCGAAAATGTGAGTAATACTACAGGTCCTTGTGTCCTTAAGTACCTCTGGATGTTAGGCCGCGGCGCCCGAAATACCTTCTATGTAGATAATGTCACTGACAAAAAGCAGAGACGACTTCAAGGTACGGTTGGCAGACTGCCTAAGACGACTCCAGAGAGGTGGTGTCATAAGTGATCGTGATTTCTAGCATATTCAACACGTCGGCACACATATCCGACGAATGCATGGTCTACCGAAGATCCACAAGGATGCTCTGCCCTTTCTTCCGATTTTGGATATACAAAACTCTCCGCGCCATGTGATATCGAAATGGTCGGAAAAGAAACTCGGGTCCGTATAAGGTGATTCAGCGCCACCCAATTATCGGGCTATCTTACAATTCGTTTGCGGCGTCAAGGACACCGATCTAAACGGAAAGGTTATGTTTTTGCTAGATATAGCATTAATCTTCAAAAAAACCGAGACAATTGATTACCTCTGTGAATTACTATCGATCACACAATAGAAAATAGTTGCCGAAAAACGCACTAAAGAAACTATTCCAAAAACACTCATTAATCGTGCAGTTTTTTCATAACGAACTGTATAAGGTAACAAACGGAGTTGTCAAGGGCTGGCGTCTTCGTCCTCTTTTAGCCCGACTTATTAATGGATGCGTTGAATAGGTTTCAACTAAGTGATCAAATATATAACATGAAACATTAAGACCACCACGTGGGTGACTTCTTTACAATTACAACTGCATAAACCAACACAGTAAATGGGGTAAGTCATGAAACACCAACCGAAATTCCGAAGTGCGTCTTTGTTTCTAAAAGATTGATTAAGTAGGGCTGTAAAAATAATCATTGTGCAGCATAATTCTATAATAATTCAGTTATCTCAGGATGCCGGCTTATGAATGAACTTCTTTCCGGCTGCACGCAAAAACTATACTCTGTAAAAAATGACTACTTTAGTAGCAGGAATTTTTCTATTTTATTTTCGATGCCCTTAAAAATTCAATTATATTTCATGGTATCATGCATAAGAATATTCATTTTTCTGCTCATTCGGTAGAGAATTGCGTCTTCTTCCAATCTTATACTCGAAGGAAGGGTATAATTCGGTTTTAAAAAATTTCTAATTGTAAGATTTTTGATGCCGTGAAATGACCGTTCTTAAAACGTCACGTCTCTGCATTTACCAGTGTGGCTTGTAAAGTTAACAATACGGATCAAATCCTTTGCCTAATTTTATGAACCCCATATGGTTTTCTCTTAATGGTTTCCGTACGCGGAAAACAAACGGCTTGTAGTTTGGAAATCCAGAATGCAGGTCGGGTTCAAGATTATTCGGGAACTGGAAAAGTTTTTGAAAACCGAATTATACCCTTCCTTCGAGTATAAAATTGGAAGAAGACACAATTTTCTACCGAATGAGCGGAATAATGAATATTCTTATGCATGTTGCCATGAAATATAATTGAATTTTTAAGGGCATCGAAAATAAAATAGAAAAATTCCTGCTACTAAAGTAGTCATTTTTTACAGAGTATAGTTTTTGCGTGCAGCCGGAAAGAAGTTCATTCTTAAGCCGGCATCCTGAAGTAACTGAATTATTCTAGAATTATGCTGCACAATGATTATTTTTACAGCCCTACTTAATCAATCTTTTAGAAACAAAGACGCACTTCGGAATTTCGGTTGATATTTCATGACTTCGCCCACCTACTGTAACTGTCTTTTTGTACGCTGTAACTCAGACCAATCAGTCGACTTAGTTTACGCTGTAGATAGGAGTGACAAGTTCATTCCCCTTCTTGGACGTTTGCTTAACCAGATGACCTGACGGCAGTGTTCGCAGAAGCGCATATCAGAAGGACACCTGTTCGGAAAAGTGAACAAACTTCTGAACCTGTGTAACCCTTGACCAGCAATGACATTTAGTCCGTTATTTGACTTAAACGTTAGAAAAATCCATTCGACGGATAGGATCGATTAGGAGCCTAAAAAGATCCAAAACCTGCTTTGTGAAAGTGAGTGTCCTGATCAATTTTCTACGAGTAATATCATTGGAAAGCCAACAAAGCCCCCCGTGCCGACTACGGAGGCAATGCATGTATTCTCCAAAGCCACTCTTCAGGGAGACACGTCAACTGAACTCTTGAGAAGACGTCTCAACCGAGTTGTTTCATGAACCTTCCCAACAGCAGGAGTTTGGGTATTATTTTCCACCAATCCCATTTTACGCTGAGGGGACAGGGATAATTTGCCAGCCCAAACCAATTTGATGCTTATTTACTCCTTCCTTTACTTTACGGGAGCAGGCCGCATTTAATGCGCGATTCGTCACCTATTCAAAAGTGTGCGTGAGAATTTCCCAGCACGACTGAGAAAGAGTAAAAGTAAGGACATAAGCGGAGCCATCCTCATATATATGGCTGACTTTGGGTTCCCGGGCATCCAAGAAGTCATTTGAGTAATATGAAGATTTTACCGAACCACTCAAAACTACTGGAACGGCATCGACTAGCAACAACAGAAGCAACTGCAATCAGGTTGCGCAAGCCAGTGCTGTGGTCACGGGAGAACTTGGCGTATGTTCCACGTTTATCATGGTCAATAGATAGTTAGCTTACCAGCTGCATGCAAGTTCCACCCCTTCCTCCTCTCCCCACACTGTCCATCCTAACATCCTTCCCACTCAGATCATTCATCAGTACCTGATTGCCCTATTTTGGTTGTTTCTTCTGATGAATGCTCTGCCGGAGATTGTGGTAGCTTTTAAATTGTGCTTTTTTTCAAAATTATAGTTGTGATTTATTATGTCAGTAATAGTCTAAGTGACATCTTTACTGATAAATGGCAAGCAGTACTTAAAATCTGGCCAGAGCAAATCATAATTTCAGGTAATCACAAAGGATTTATCAGGTAAAATTTTGGACGGTGTATAAAAAACTCCATGGATGCTTAATCTAAGAGTCAGGTCGAAATCCCTCGGAGAAAACGCACAAAACAGGATACACTGATAGTGACTGCCTCTAATTATCCCCTACCTTTATACTTCACAATTCCCAATT